TGCTGCTGCTGCGCGGAGCCGTCCGCGGCGGCCCCGGAGGCACCATCATCAGCAGCAGCAGCAGCAGCAGGGGCTGGCAAGCTGCCAGCAAAGGGGGCGCGTCTGTGGGGAAAGATGTTGTCGAGGTAGAGCAGCTGCAAAAAGGTCCTTCGCTGCTGCTGCAGCAACGCGAAGGCGAGGGGCCCCTGGGGGCCCCCACCCTTCTCCGATTTGTAAGGATCTGTTTCCCCAGGGGCTGCCACGCGGGCCCTCCAAATTTTTCTGCTGCTGCCGTCACTTATTGAGAAGCTCGAGGTCACCAGCAGCGCCACCTGTTCCACAGGCCCTGGGATCGTCTCCTCCCTCTCTGGGATCGTCTTTTCCCCCTCCGGGATCGTCTTTATTCCCCCTGGGACCGTCTTTTTCCTCCCTGGGATCGTCTTTTCCTCAGGCCCTGGGATCGCCTCCCAGCCCCCGGGGATCGTCTTTTCCCCCGCTGGGATCGTCTTTTCACCCCCTGGGATCGTCTTCTCCCGGCCTGGGATCGTCGTCTCCCGCGCGCAGGGGCTGGTGAGTTTGTACCAAAAGCCAGTAGGGTCCAGGCCCCGAACTACTACGTAGGCAGGCAGGGGCAGGGGACCCCCGGGGGCCCCCGAGGGGGCCCCCCGGGGGGCCCCCTGGGGGGGCCCCTGCAGCACTCCGGGCCTCTCAAGCAGCACAGGGAATTCATAGCGCTGCCACTGGGGCGTTGCAGTTAGTGTGTCTGTCCACAGCAGGTGGGTGGCTCTGCTGCGCTGCAGCTTGCGGCGCGTGGCTTCATCTAGCAAGCAGTCTACAGGCCCTACACCCAGCAGCAGCAGCAGCAGCAGCGGCAGCAGCAGCAGCAGCAGCAGCAGCGAGCGCCGCGGCCCGGCGCTAGAGCTACTCATGGAGGTGTGCACGTGGCGCTTTCTAAGAAAGGCACATTTCCGTCTTCTCTCTTTAGCTCAGTGCTTAGTAGCTCTAATTGACTCTTTAATAATCTTTTGGGAGGCAGCAGCAGCAGCAGCAGTAGCTGCTGCTGCTGCTGCTGCTGCTGCCGCCGCCGCCGCTGCTGAAACAGAACTGGAAGCAAGGGCTGGCGGGCGCCACAGTCCCCCCAATCGGGACAGGGAGTGTGAGGGTTTAGTCCTTTTGATCATTTTTTAATTTTAAACTTCTTTTTAAACCCATAACTAACCAATAGGAGGGCTAGGGGCCCCTCGAGTTGCAGCGACAGGGTTCCCCCGGGGCCCCTCGCTGGCCCGTCGGCTGCCGTCGGGCGCAGCAGCAGCAGCAACAGCTGCTGCTGCCGCTGCTGCTGCCGTTGACCGTCGCATTGAGCTTAATTGGCTCATAGATTATAAACCGCTAGAGCAGCAGCTGCTGCAGTTGCCGCTGCTGCTGCTGCTGCGAATGCTGCGGGCGCCCGGACAGGCGGGGGCCCCCGGATCGTCTCCCGGAGGCCTGGGGGGCCCCCCGCCCCCCACGGGTCCCTAATTGTTTCCCCGAGCCTTCTAAAATGTCTCTAGGAGAGTTTTTAGTCCCTGGGGGCCCCCCAGTGCTGGGCCACGAGGGGGGCCCCCAGGAGGGGGGGCCCCCCGAAGGGCCCCCGCCG